CAGGTGTTTTGAGTGAGAAACCAGGTGTTCTGAGTGAGAAACCAGGTGTTTTGAGTGATAAACCAGGTGTTCTGAGTGATAAACCAGGTGTTTTGAGTGAGAAACCAGGTGTTCTGAGTGATAAACCAGGTGTTTTGAGTGAGAAACCAGGTGTTCTGAGTGATAAACCAGGTGTTTTGAGTGAGAAACCAGGTGTTCTGAGTGATAAACCAGGTGTTCTGAGTGAGAAACCAGGTGTTTTGAGTGATAAACCAGGTGTTTTTGAGTAATAAAACCAGGTGTTTTGAGTGAGAAAACCAGTTTTTGAGTGAGAAACAAAGGTGTTTTGAGTGAGAAACCAGGTGGTTTTGAGTGAGAAACCAGGTGTTTTGAGTGAGAAACCAGGTGTTCTGAGTGAGAAACCAGGTGTTTTGAGTGAGAAACCAGGTGTTTTGAGTGAGAAACCAGGTGTTTTGAGTGAGAAACCAGGTGTTCTGAGTGAGACAACATTTGTAGCATTTGTTGCAACCTGGATGGTTCTGTCCCACAACTTGCTACCTGTGTCACCCTCATGAGGCAGAAAGGCAGCACCGTGTGTGACTTGAAAAAGCCCACTGTGTGGGTGAAACGTTGTCAATAAAGGATCACATTATACTGCATTTGTGTTTATATTTCCACCTCCCTGGATGGTTCTCATCTAACCAAGAGTGAGACCCAACATACGCTCTAGCATTAATAAGAGTGTTCAATAACCCTGATAGCCTGCTGTTAATGGTAGCTATTAACCTTCAATGGCCCCTCATGAGGCTTTTGCCTACACGTAAATGGCCGCGATAAATAATTAAGAACATCAGAAAATGCTCTAACTTGATATCAGAGGTTGATCGTTAATGTAGTTTTATTTAATGCGAGCGGGGGGGGGGGGGGGTGGGGGGGGGGGGGGTTAGTATGTTTTTATTATTTATGTGAAGGGATAGACTTGTGTGGGTTAATTCAAGGTTAGGAGAGCTTGAGGCTCGATCCTCCGTCCACTAATAGCGAGCCACACACACACACACACACACACACACACAACAAACACACACACGCTACGTGCATAACTATACCGTACACACAAGAGAGGACTCTAGTTTGAGTTTCCGTACGTACTCACCTGTTTGTGCTTACACGGGACGAGTTGCAGCTCTCGGCCCTACCTCTTGCCGCATACCTGGTTCACTCCCTTCTACTCTCTTGAGCAGTCATACCTATTCTTAACACTGTGCATGGAGCTTGCCTCCACTACTTTGTCTGGGTTATTACTCTTCCTGACCACCTTGAGGATGCAGAAATAGTGTCATGTATGTACGTGTATGTGTGGAAACGCATCCGGGCAACAAACTAGGATGTTGACGGAGGATCGAGCCTCCACTACTCGTTTTGCCTATGCTGATTGAACTCGTAAGGGTATAGCAGTTAAACGAAATACAATCTACTGCTCATTCGAGGGACTTGCTATCTTATCTTGAGGTAGCTGTCTTAAGTAAGATTATAAAGTTTGTGGTGGTTCTGTAGTATGTATAACAGCCTCATACACCACTCACTGGTATGAAGGTGTATACCGAGTGAGACACTTATGCAACATATGGGAATCTTTACTGAAAAAACGCTTCGCCACACAGTGGCTTCATCAGTCCATACAAAGGAGAATGGTGTAAGGAGAGGAGGAGTCTGAGGTAACCAGTCCCTCAGCCTGGAGTCGATGTGTGCCGCCTGAGAGACCTCATACGTGGCGATGAGGGGAAATTCTGTAACTAAGTGAAGAATGGTGTGATAAAGGAGGAAAATTGGTGGTGGTAAAGTTATATATAACGAATTTAAAGGGGAAAATTCCGTGAGGGTGAAACGTAATGTATGTGATGGCCAAGTGAATGTTATGTGGTGATGAATGTTATGTGATGATGAATGTTATGTGATGATGAATGTTATGTGATGATGAATGTTATGTGATGATGAATGTTATGCGATGATGAATGTTATGTGATGATGAATGTTATGTGATGATGAATGTTATGTGATGATGAATGTTGTGTGATGATGAATGTTATGTGATGATGAATGTTATGTGATGATGAATGTTATGTGGTGATGAATGTTATGTGATGATGAATGTTATGTGATGATGAATGTTATGTGGTGATGAATGTTATGTGATGATGAATGTTATGTGATGATGAATGTTATGTGATGATGAATGTTATGTGATGATGAATGTTATGTGATGATGAATGTTATGTGATGATGAATGTTGTGCGATGATGAACACGTTTAACGAAGGATGACGTGTGATTTCAACTGGAAGATATGTGCACATGAAGTGAAACTGATGTGTGTGTGTGTGTGTGTGTGTGTGTGTGTGTACTCACCTAGTTGTACTCACCTAGTTGAGGTTGCAGGGGTCGAGTCCGAGCTCCTGGCCCCGCCTCTTCACTGGTCGCTACTAGGTCACTCTCCCTGAACCGTGAGCTTTATCATACCTCTGCTTAAAGCTATGTATGGATCCTGCCTCGGATACATCGCTTCCCAAACTATTCCACTTACTGACTACTCTGTGGCTGAAGAAATACTTCCTAACATCCCTGTGATTCATCTGTGTCTTCAACTTCCAACTGTGTCCCCCCTTTTTACTGTGTCCAATCTCTGGAACATCCTGTCCTTGTGGGGGGTGGTGGGGGTGGGTTGTGGGTTAGTGTGGTGTATGTGGTGTAGTGTGGTGTAGTGTGGTGTAGTGTGGGGGTGGTGTGGTCTGAGTGTGAGTATGGTGGGTATGGTGTGGTGTGGGGTGGTGTAGTGTGGGTGTGGTGTGGTGTGGTGTAGGTGTGGTGTGGGTGGATGTGGTGTGGTGTGGGTGTGGTGTAGTGTGGGGGTATGTGGGTGTGGTGTTTGTGTGGTGTTTGTGTGGGTGTGGTGTGGGTGTGGGTGGTTGTGGTGTGGGTGTGGTGTGGGTGTGGTGTGGAATGTGGTGCGGTGTGGTGTGGGTGTGGTGTGGGTGTGGTGTGTGTGGTTAGTGTGGTGTAGTGTGGGTGTGGTGTGGGGTTGGTGTGGTTGTGGTGTGGGGGTGGGGGTAGGTGTGGTGTAATGTGGTTGGGTGTGGTGTGGGTGGGGGTGGGGGGTGTGGTGGGGGGTGTGGGTGTGGTGTGGGTGTGGGTAGTGGTGGTGTGTGTGGTGTGGTGTGAGGTGTGGGTGTGGGTGTTGTGGTGTGTGGTGTGGTGTGGGTGTGGTGTGGTGTGGGTGTGGTGTGGTGTGGTGTGGTGTATGGGTGGGTGTGGTGGGTGTGGTGTGGGGGTGTGGGTGTGGTGGTGTGGTGGGTGGATTTGTGGTGGTGTGGTGTGGGTGTGGTGTAGGTGGGTGGGGTGTGGTGTGGTGGGGGTGTGGTGTGGGTGTGGTGATGGGTGTGGGTTGTGGGTGGGTGTGGGTGTAGTGTGGTGTGAGGTAGTTGTGGTGGTGGTGTAGTGGTGGTGTGGTGTGTGTGTGGTGTGGTGTAGTGTGGGTGTGGTGTGGTGTGGGTGGTGTGGTGTAGTGTGGTGTGTTTGGGTTGGTGTATGTGGGTGTGGTGGGTGGGGTGTGGTGTGTGTGTGGGGTGGTGTAGTGTGGGTGTGGTGTGGGTGTGGTAGTGTTGGTGTGGTGTAGTGTGGGTGTTAGTGTGGGTGTGGTGTGGGTGTGGTGTAGTGTGGGTGTAGTGTGGGTGTGGTGTTGTGTGGGTGTGTGTGGGTGTGTAGTGTGGGTGTGGTGTGGGTGTGGGTGTAGTGTGGTGTGTGAGTGTGGGTGTGGTGTGGGTGTGGTGTAGTGTGGGTGTAGTGTGGGTGTGGTGTGTGGGTGTGGTGTAGTGTGGGTTGTAGTGTGGGTGTGGTTGTGTGGTGTGGTGTAGTGTGGGTGTAGTGTGGGTGTGGTGTGGTGTGTTGGGTGTGGTGGTGTGATGTGTGTGTGTGTTGGTGTGGTGTAGTGTGGGTGTGGTGTGGGTGTGGTGTAGTGTTGGGTGTAGTGTGGGTGTGGTGTGGTGTGGTGTAGTGTGGGTGTAGTGGGGTGTGGTGTGGGGTGTGTAGTGTGTGTAGTGTGGGTGGGGTTGGGTAGTGTGGTGTAGTGTGGTGTGGGTGTGGGTGGTGTAGTGTGGGTGTTATGTGGGTGTGGTGTGTGTGTGGTGGTGTAGTGTGGGTGTGTGTGGGTGTGGTGTAGTGGGTGTATGTGGTGTGGTGTGGGTGTTTGTAGTGTGGGTGTAGTGTGGGTGTGGAGTGGTGTGTGGTGTAGTGTGGGTGTAGTGTGGGTGTGATGTGGGTGTGGTGTAGTGTGGGTGGGGTGTAATGATGTTCATTCATAGTCATCTTGCTATCAGTGGTGGTGGTGGTGGTGTGGTGGTTACGGTGTGGTGGTTACGGTGTGGTGGTTACGGTGTGGTGGTTGCGGTGGTAGTGGTGGTGATAGTAGTAGTTGTGCTTGTTAGTGGTAGTGGTGCCTGAGCTTCCCTCTCCCTTCCCCTCTCTATATTTCTCATTTCCCCTCCCTGTCTCGCTCCCTCTCAACTTTTCACCTTTTTTTTAATCCCTCTTTCCAGCCACTCTCACGAAATCTCCCTCTCTATACATATATTTCTCCTCTCTTGCTCTCTCAAATTCACCTCCACCTTATTTCTCTCCCTATCTCCCCCTCTTAAAAATGGTCGCCCTGTTTCCCTTCTTCCTATTCTCCTCCTCATCCCAATCCACATTTTTCTCTTCATCTTTCTGGGATACTTATCCCACTTTTTTCCTTCTGCGATTCCCACCCTCCTTTATCATGTTCTGTCTTTACCCCCATACTGTCCAGTCTCTCTCTTCTTCCATATCCCATCCCCAGACTCTATTCTTCCTCCTTCTATCCCGTCCGTTCCCCCATCCCCTCTGCCGTTCCCCCTCCTGAAACACTTATCTCCCTCGCCTTGGTGTTATCATCTGTTGGTCAGCTGATAACAACAGCTGATGACCAAAACACCAGTTGGCAGTCGTTCATTACCTAAACTAAGACCTTTTTCCTACAGTCTTTGTGGTTGTTTACATTTCAATAATGCTTTCTTCGGATAACAGATAAGTGTCTGGCGGACCTTGGTCTAAAAGAAGTCAGTTCTCCCTGGAGCAGCAGTAGTGTGGCACCTTTGTCGAAAATCAGCCACTGTAAACTGTCAGGCATTAGTAGGTCGTTTGACTGTACTCTCTGGTCTCAAGTGTGTTGTACTCGGTGAAGTGAACTCGCATTGTTGTGTTTGTAGGGGTCGCGTCATAGCTCCTGGCCCCGCCTCTTAACTATCGATTGTGTTTGCTGGTTTCCAGCCTCCAGAGCCGCATCGTACCTACACTTGTAATTGTGTATGGTGATTGCCGGTGCGAGTGCTTGTGTGGGAGACGCCAAAGATGAAGGTTACGAGATATTTGGCTCTGGTGGTGGCCACAGTGATAACTTGTGTCTCTGGTGCTATTGATATAGAAGGTGAGTGTACAGAGTAGTGGTGGAGAAGTGTCTGTCAGTCAATGTAGTGTAGTGTAGTCTGTAGTGTAAGCACTATATATTGAATAAACATAAATGACAAACGCTAAGCTAAATCTCAACACAAAGATAATGGGAAGTATTGCTGAAAAATGTATAATTATTCTTCTTGTAGTGTTGTGGTGCGTGTGGATAGTGTGTGTGCGTGGAGGTGTAGGTGGGGAGGTGCAGGTGGGGAGGTGCAGGTGGGGAGGAGCAAGCGAGCACCTCAGTTAATAATATCCGAGTAATAATAAAATAAATTAACAATGTTAAAGGCAATAATCTATTACAGCGAGGTTACATTGCTGTGTTTTAAGGCAGGAAACACAGGCTAAACAGTAAAATCGCGACGTCCATATTTTGGTGTTAGTTAAATGTGGACGTGTACTTAGGACGAGGGTTTGGGTCTGGTCGTGTTTGTTGATGTCAAGACCCCTCATGTACTTGATCAACTTTGATATATATCAACTAAACCGTTCCACACACACACACACACACACACACACACACACACACACACACACACACACACACACACACACACACATGTATACTGGCCAAAGTATTGGAAAAGAAAATCAGGATAGGTTCTTGGGGCACTTAGAGAGGAAGGACTTTGTTACAGAGAACCACTGCAAACTTGAGGAATGTAAAGTCATGCCTCACTGACCTACTGGTGTTCTACGACAGAATAACGGAACTTGTACAAGAAAGGCATCGTCGTCGTCGTAAGCTTCTCTCTTTTATGTGCGGGTTATTTGTGTATCGTTCCAGTCACGGTATTGTGCCTTTTTGTTATTTAAGAAAGACATAGATGGACCTACCTACCTGGAGCCTACCTGGAGCCTACCTGGAGTCTACCTGGAGTCTACCTGGAGTCTACCTGGAGGGTATTCCGGGTATCAACGCTCCCGTTGCCCGGTCCACGACCAGGCCTCCAAAAAAGGGATTGTTGGTGTGGATGTTACAACCTGGCCAGTAGAACTCTCATACTGCATATTCTTGGACTGCAGGAAAGCATTTGACATTGTCTCACCAGAAATTGATTCACAAACACAAGGAGTACGCTGGGTTACTGGTATAAGTTCTATAGTGGATCAAGGAACACCTAACGAACAGAAGACGGAGGGTGATGGTAAGGGCAGACGCTTCCTTAACAGATGTAATGACCTGCCAGAGAGGATGGAATCGTATATTTCACTGCTCACTGATGAATAAAACCGAGAAAGGACAGAGACAAACTGCAGAGAGATTTGTACAAACTGCAATTGTGATCAAACAGGTGGTTACTGGAGTTCAACCCAATTTCGTGAAAGGTCATGAAATCTGGGAATAGAGAGAGATCTAAGACTCACTACAGCCTGAAAAGTGAAAATCTTGAAATATGGCTCAAGGAGAGAGAAGATGTAGTGAGAATTACACCCAACATAAACCACACAACGTCTGGACCATGGGTTAAGTTAGCTAAACTCACAACTGGCCTAATAAACCTCAGTGAAGACATATTCTGGACTCGACACGGTACATGACAATCTCAGGTGAAATAATCAGTGGAATGAACTAGATAAGGAAGTTGTAGAACCGAACTCGATACACCTTTTCAAGAGTAGTTGTAGAAATAAAGATAATTATTATTAATTTTAATATTATATTTATTATTGGTATTTATTATTATTATTATTATTATTATTATTATTATTATTAATGAGGCACGTACCAACAATGTTTGCGATTGTAGTTTACGAGGAGGGACCAGGAGCTGAGTCTCAACCCTTTCCTCTCCCCTCATATTTCAACCCTCACCTTCCCCTCTCCCCTCTCTCCCACAGCATGGAAGGGCAAGGAACCTCTCACTCCTGAGAGAATCGTCAGGGAAGTTGTGGAATACTTCTCCCAGAGGGATCCTCATGGTATCCCAGGTAAGTTCATGCTATACCAGGTAAGATCATGCTATTTTAAGTATGTTCATGCTATCCCAAGTAAGTTTATGCTATCCATAGTAACTTCATGTTAACCCAGATCACTCCATGGTATCCCAGATTACTCCATGGTATCCCAGATCACCCTATGGTACCCCAAATCACTCCATAGTATTCCAAATCACTCCATGGTATCCCAGATCACTCCATGGTATCCTACACCACTCCATGGTATCCAGATCACTCTATGGTATCCCAAATCACTCCATGGTACCCCAGATCACTCTATGGCATCCCAAATCACTCCATGGTATCCCAAATCACCCCATGGTATCCCAAAGCACTCCATGGTATCCCAAACCACTCCATGGTATCCCAGATTACTCTAGTCTATGGTATCCTAAATCACTCTATAGTATCCCAAATCCCTATATGGTATCACAAATCGCTTTATGGTATCCCAAACCACTCCATGGTATCCCAGATTACTCTATGGTATCCCAAATCACTCTATAGTATCCCAAATCACTATACGGTATCCCAAATCGCTTTATGGTATCCCTAATCACTCCATAGCGTCTAGTTTAATGTTTATTTAAGTTAAATATTTATTGCAGTTTAATGTTTATCTTATTTTATTTGTTTATATATTTTTATTGACTTTTATTGATATGTTACATTTACTTATCTCTCAAGCTAATTACTTGTCACTTTACCTCACTTACCTCTCACTTTATTTTCTTCTCGCCTCTCACTTTACTTATCTCTTACCTTACTTACCTCTGACTTTACCTCTTTCATTTTCTACCCTCCAAGACCCCCACGGGTTTAGCGCTCAGTTATGACTATAATAATATATTTTTCTTCCCCTGGTAGTGCTGAAGATACCGGAACCCATCGAGATGCCGGACCGCATCACAGCATCACAGATCACGCTCTGGGACCTGAAGATCTCTGGTCACTCTGATCTTCGCCTGGAGTACGTCAACGTTAACCTTACCACCTTCTCGGTATGTCCTCTTCTTCCTCCTCATTCTTCTTCCTCCTCCTCCTCCTCCTCTGCGTCCTTTTCCATGTCCTCCTCACCGTCTTCCTCCATGTTCTCCTTCGTGTCCTCCACCCAAAACCTCCTCCGTCTGTTGACATGTCCTCTTTCCCCACCTTCTAGATATATTGTTTTCCATGTTTGCCAGTCCATAGTGTGTTCTCCATGTCTTCCTCTATGTATATGCATGTCCTCCTCCTCCTCCTCCTCCTACTACTACTACTACTACTACTACTACCACTACTCTTCTTTCTCCTCCTCTTCCTCCTCTCCTCTCTCTCCATCACCCACCTCCGCTAGGTGTTATCTATATACATCAAGTACACACCTATTTTACCTTCCCTCTGTAAAGGATGATTCCCAGTACCATTTACAGCAACCACGACAACCAACACGGTTCATGACAGACAACCACGACAACCATTTCAACCAACAAGCTTCGTAACAGGCAACCACGACAATTACTTTAATTAGGAAGCTTCATAGCAGACAACCACGGCAATCAAAAACTTCTTAACAGATAACCACGACAAGCACGACAAAGCGTGTACAACTCTGTTCACTTGAACAATGCGTGTGTACAACACTGGGATATCACAAACCACTTGATGATATGGAACGACACTCACTATCATAAGATATACAGTACCCACAAGATGAATGATGTCTGGCCTCTTGTCTCTGCAGGAGGCCTGAGGGACTGACCACCTCCTGCCGGTTTTATATTCGCCTGTATTCGACAGAAGATGCCTGCTATGTAGGCGAAACCTCTCGGTAATAAAGATACCCAAGTGTTGCACATGTGTCTTGCTTAGTAAGCAAGGAACATAATCTTTCCTTCAGACGCAAAGGACAAAGTCAACGTCGTTATCTTTGAAGTATTAGCGAAGTTCCTGATAACGCATACACTTGTGTCATTATTAGCGTTCGCTTCCTAATGCTCGTGGTGAGCAAAACGTAGCAGTGATAAGTGTCTCATTTGTTGACGATGTCTTCGCTTACCTAAGAAGCATCTGAAGACTTCAATCTCTCTCTCTCTCTCTCTCTCTCTCTCTCTCTCTCTCTCTCTCCTAAAAGTCGTTGCACAAATGTCAAATTAACTTCTACGTTGCAGGGAACAGTGAGGCTGAGCTTGCCGGTGTTCAACGTGCAGGGGGAATACTCCTGGCCAGGGTGGTTCTCCACTAGCGAAGGAGGAGCAAACATTACTATGGATGGTATCGAAATCCTTATCGAGATGAACCTTGGTGTCGACGACAACGGCATCATAGCGGTGGAGAATCTGAAGGTGTGGTATTGTTGTTGTGGGGGAGGGGCTGGTGATGGGGATTGTGGTTGGGGTTGTCGGTGAAGGAGGTAGTGGTTGGTAAAGGTGGTAGTCAAGCTGTTACGACTTGATAGAGCTCCTGGAGAGCGAAACGTTGCCACAATAAAAATATCAAATTAGTTGCATTTTGTGTCCTTTTTACCTCACATCTTTCACACTCTCCCACAGATCACTATGCACTACGATAACCTGGTGCTGGGCTTCGAGAACCTCTCCACTCAGCACTCGATCCTCGTGGGCACTGCTGACGTTTTCTTTGGGACAATAATCCAACCGCTTATCATCGGAAACGTGAGTGGTAACTATGACAGATCACATCTGGTCGTTTAATCTGATGGAGTCGATTTTATTTTCAAAACATTTCATATAACTTCTGCTAGTTTAAAAAACACTAAGTTGAATGAGAATAAACCTGAGGAAAAAGGAGATTTTTTCCTTTCCAGCAGAAACGTGAAAAATAACATAAGAAAAGTTTAATTGTTTTCTGTTACATCCAACATTTATATGAAATATTTTTTGTGCCTTGATTTTGATGTTTTCCTTTGAAAATTTCCTTCAGGGGGGGGAGGTATCTTGATGCTGGTGAGGGGATATTGGTCCAGGAATTTGGAGCCACCTTCAGATCCCACGGATCAAACCCAGTTGTCTGCCATTCTGTGGCTCAAACTGCTTCAAAGATTCACCATCAAGGCAATAATAATAATAATAATAATAATAATAATAATAATAAATTTACAGGGATTATTATTATTATATGTAAGTGGAAGCGTTAAGCCCGTAAGGGATCATACAGTGCCTGAAGAACAGAGAGTAACCAGCTTAAATCCAACGACCCCTTCACTGGCATACAGGCAACCCTTCCTTTATTCCTCTCTCCTTCCCTTCCTTCCCTGTTCAAGAATTCTCACGAGGAAAAGGAAAAATAAACACGAATTCATGACCAGGAATAAAATCTTCCCCTCAACAACTCGAAAATATTTCCAGTTTAGAATATTCCGGGCTCATCAGCCCTAAATTCTTGACAATCCAGTGATTACCGGGTGTTGTGTATTACCATGTGTTGTGTATTCCGTGTATTAGCATGCGTCGTGTATACTGAGGTTTACAATGTTGGTCGGAACAGCACTCAGGAGGGTTGGTGTCGAGGGTGACACTCAACGCTGCTAACTTGTGTTTGGCTGTATAAATATTTACTCTGGCATTTGTCTGCAGACATTCCCAACAGCGTTTGTTTACATTCAGAAGAGGATCCCACAAGGGGGTCATAATATACAGATCAATCGACTTCTTGTGTTTCTGTCTGCATATAGCATATGGATTATTATTGTCCTATCTTAGGGACATGCCTCAGAACGTCATCTCCTGAAGACGATCTTTCGTGGCTGCAAAGCCTTGAACTGTGTATCATGCTAACCTTCACCCGTGACTTTGCTGTCCCTAAGAAGCGATAGATTTTCCTTTGTTAAGGAATCACTGAATTACCACTTGTGTACTATCCAGTTTAGAGGGTAGCAAGGAGTAGCCGGAGGCCTCGTGAATCAAAGGGCCAGCACGTAGCTAGGTAGTTGTTGGGCCAGCAGCTAGCTAGGTAGATGCTGGATCTGCAGCTAGCTAGGTTGATGCTGGGCCAGCAGCTAGCTAGATAGATGCTGGGTCAGCAGCTAGCTAGGTAGATGCTGGATCAACAGCTAGCTAGGCAGATGCTGTGCCAGCAGCTAGCTAGGCAGATGCTGGGCCAGCAGCGGACGTAAGATGATCCTTTAAGTTCCCCCTTCCTGCATCAGACAGGATTTATAATTCCCTCTCTCTCACTCTCTCTCGGGCACACAAGGGGAATGTTAATGGTGTTAAGCTGTGCTGGTGGACACACACACACACACACACACACACACACACACACACACACACACACACAGGCTTTCTCTTACCTCTTCTCCCTGCTACACGTCAACAACCACTGTTCTCTCCGCCCTAAATTCCGTCACTTGTTTTGTTTGGGAGAAATTTTCTCTGAGTGGGAAGCTAGAGTCGGGTTAATTTATAAGTGGTTTTAAAATTTTATATATATATATATATATATTATATATATATATATATATATATATATATATATATATATATATATATATTATATATTTCATTTATATTTCACCTTTTCTTTCCCTATTTTTATTAGATTTTCTTACTTTTGCAGTCTTCTCCGTTTTCACCATTCCGTATTTCACTTAAAATGTTAAAAAGCAGCTCTGATAATAGTGTTATTGCAATTAGTAAACAGAGGATCGAGCCTTCACCACACATTGCACGGATTTAACTTCTCGTATATGATAATAAGCATAAAATTCCTAATTTCCACGTTTCTCTACTGTCTTGTTCTTTTTTCTTACATTTGTTCTCTTCCTCGGGCAATAACACCTTCAATAACTCTTAAGAGCTTCTGTTCCTGTAATCAAACCTGATTACCTGCCCTTCCTCAGGCGCTGTATGATCCCTACGGGTTTAGTGCTTCCCCCTATGAATTTACCACTAAGTCAAGGTTTTACACAACACACACACACACACACACACACACACACACACACACATTGTCTGTCTTCCTTGTAAGACTTTTCCTCTGTACTTACTGGCATTTCTCGGTTAGACACGCCAGTATTTCATGCATTATCTTTCTATCCATTTCCCTTTCACATTATCTTTCCTTTCATTTCCCTTTCCCATTATCTACTGTAGTTTCATTTCTTCCTATCCTCTCTCGTGCCCATTCCCAGATACTGCATTACAGTAATATTTAAGAAAATGCTGCAACCAGATCTTCTATACATCATTAGTCTGACACCTCAACATTACTTATAAGATCGGAAATATAATTTTTTTTTCGTGTTAAAATGATATTTCTTTGTATTTTTTAGGCACAGGATAAAATTAAGAACCTCCTTAACCAGCGATTACAGCAGAGACTGGCAGACAAGCCCTTCCCTGACTCCATTTCTCCCGTGGACTACGCCGTTGCCCAGGTAACCTTTTATTTCTGTTTTGACTCCATTTCTCCCGTGGACTACGCCGTTTCCCAGGTAGCTTTTTTTCTGTTTTGAGTCCATTTCTCCCGTTGATTACACTGTTGCCTAGGTAACACATTTTTTCTGTTTTGACTCCATTTCCCACCCAGCAATTTATGTTTGACATGCTTACGATTCTACGTTCAGAGAGAGAGAGAGAGAGATAGTGTCAGCTTTCACTTCAGACTATATCCTAGACGAAGAGAAGTTTACCTCAGTTGCAGTTCTTACGTCTCACTTGACAGATACGACGAGAGCTGAAGAGAAAGCAGTTGGACCCACTCAAGATGGGCAGGAAAGACGTGACCTTGGCCTGGGGCATCACCGTCCAGGTCAGTGCAGACGAAGGGAAGTGGGAAATGTAGTGTGATAAAGGAGAGTAGTGGTATATGTGTACAAACTTTAAGCATAGGATCATTATCATGCATCTCCGTTTCGTTTATCTCCTTATTCTTTGTCTCACTCTGTTCCATCTTATTTTCCTTTGTCACCCTTTATCTCTTCGTTCGTTATCTACATATTCAACAGCTTATTTTCTTTCTTGATTAACAAAGTTACCTGATTCTTCCTGCCTCGGTTTACGACTTAGAACATAATTATTAGTATTTACAGTTAACTGCCCATGGTTAATAATTTTTTCTAATTATTTCCTCTTGATCGTTCCTTCACCTCTCTTGTTAACTTTTTTCCTGGGGAAATATTGTAAAAAAGCCAGCTACTACGCACACACACACACACACACACACACACACACACACACACACACACACACACACATACATAGCTTTAAGCAGAGGTATGATAAAGCTCACGGTTCAGGGAGAGTGACCTAGTAGCGATCAGTGAAGAGGCGGGGCCAGGAGCTCGGACTCGACCCCCGCAACCTCAACTAGGTGAGTACACACACACACACACACACACAATTGGAAGCTGAAGATTCAGACGAGTCACAGGGATGTTAGGAAGTATTTCTTCAGTCGTAGAGTTGTCAGGAAGTGGAATAGTCTAGCAAGTGATGCAGTGGAGGCAGGAACCATACATAGATTTAAGACGAGGTATAACAAAGCTCAGGGAGCAGAGAGGGAGAGAGGACCTAGTAGCGATCAGTGAAGAGGCGGGGCCAGGAGCTGAGTCTCGACCCCTGCAACCACATATAGGTGAGGTGAGTACACACACACACACACACACACGGCCTTGTGGCGCAACGGATAACGCGTCTGACTACGGATCAGAAGATTCCAGGTTCGAATCCTGGCAAGGTCGACACTATTGTTTGTTATTGTTGCTGCTGTTATTATACTAGGTAAGTACACACACACACACACACACACACACACACACACACACACACACACACACACACACACACACACACACACACACACACACACACACACACACATTTTTTATTTATATTTAAGAAGTTGAAAGTAAAGTTATAATCTAAACAATTAATCATGTTATGTTATATTTTAATTAACCTTGAATAAACTAAGTTCTTAAATGTTGCAACGGAAAGTAGAACCGGGCAAAACTAAAAGTTTTTGGTAAATTATTTAATTCCGACTGAACTAGCCATGTTACAGCCCCATTTACAACCTTTATTGATTGATTCACAAACCGAGGATCGAGCCTCTACAGTTAATCTGCATTACCCAAAACTTTGCAATGTTGCTAAGTTCAACATTATGTTAAATTAGATAAATTAGTAATTCAACTTTGTTATACATTGCTATATATTTGTTATATATACCACAGTATATATACATCGAGAGGTGTATATCTCTGTGTATATACACTGAGAGATATTTACCTCTCGGTATACATCCCTCGGTATATATATATATATCTAGGTATATATATCAGTGTATATACACCGAGAGGTATATATTTCTCAGTGTATATACGCTGAGAACTAATTAACTTCCGTATCCTGGGTATTAAAATATTCTTGCCTGGTAGTGAACAGGTGACATGCAGCCTGAATGACCATCGTGTAGTCTAAAGGTTTGAAACCTCCGTGTGTTCATTTAGAAAGACGTCAACCTTAAATGAAGGTAGTTAGGGTTGATCCGAGGAAGGGTACTGCAGCCTTTCCAAAATTACAATATTTATGCAAATTAAAATATATTCTGTAATATATTCAAACAGCTGAAGAATATGGAACTCTCGGGGCTGTCTACCATACATCGCACTCACGAAGTCTCTGCCCAGTTTATTGACAACGCTGTCTTCATCACCATACAGGTGTGTTGCTGGTGTTACGTATGTGTTGGTGGTGTTTCAGCGTGTTATAGTCGTGTTTCAGGTGTGTTGTTGGTGTAACAGGTGTGGTATAGGTGCGTTGTAGGTGTTAGAGGTGTGGAACAGGTGTGTTTACTGGTGTTACAGATGTGTTTTTGGTGTTACAGGTATGCTGAAGGGTGTTAAAGAGTGGTAAAGAGTGTCTAAGAGTGCTAGAGAGTATTAAAGAGTGCTATAGAGTGTTGAATAGTGATAAAATGTATTGAATAGTGCTAAATAATGTCCAAGGAATGGTCTGAGTGGCCCATATTATTAGCCTGACACCCTTTTTCAAATGCCAATCCCCTCCTGATAGGCTTGTACATCTGATTTGCCTGGTCATCAGATTGGCACCTTAGAATTGTGGAGTTGTATGTCACAAACCTCTTGTTGATCTAACTTGCATACGTGACTGACCTAGCTTCTCCTTTCCCCTCACACGTGCTTGACCTGATCAACAGATCGGGGCCCAAGAGCTGAGTGGAGGAGCCGACTGGTCAATGTCTGCTGCTTTGCTGCCTGCAGTAGCGGGTCACCTGGACGTACAGGTGGAGAGTCTTAGTGTGACTGTGGAGGTCAAACAACCAGCCAACATCAGGAGCCCTCCCACGCTCAGGAAGATTGATGTCCAGCTTGGTGAGACAGAGTGTTTGTGTGCAGGTTCGAATCCTGCTGTGCACTGAGAGATGATGTCTGTATATATATATATATATTATATTATATATATATATATATATTTATATATATATATATATATTATATATATATAAATATATATATATATATTATTATTATTATTTTATTATTATCACACTGGCCGATTCCCACCAAGGCAGGGTGGCCGAAAAAGAAAAACTTTCACTATCATTCACTCCATCACTGTCTTGCCAGAAGGGTGCTTTACACTACAGTTTTTAAACTGCAATATTAACACCCCTCCTTCAGAGTGCAGGCACTGTATTCCCATCTCCAGGACTCAAGTCCGGCCTGCCGGTTTCCCTGAACCCCTTCATAAATGTTACTTTGCTCACACTCCAACAGCACGTCAAGTATTAAAAACCATTTGTCTCCATTCACTCCTATCAAACACGCTCACGCATGCGTGCTGGAAGTCCAAGCCTTCGCACACAAAACCTCCTTTACCCCTCTCTCCAACCTTTCCTAGGCCGACCCCTACCCCGCCTTCCTTCCACTAAGACTGATACACTCTTGAAGTCATTCTGTTTCGCTCCATTCTCTCTACATGTCCGAACCACCTCAACACCCTTCTCAGCCCTCTGGACAACAGTTTTGGTAATCCCGCTCCTCCTCTAACTTCCAAACTACGAATTCTCTGCATTATATTCACACCACACATTGCCCTCAGACATGACATCTCCACTGCCTCCAGCCTTTCTCCTCGCTGCAACATTCATCACCCATGCTTCACACCCATATAAGAGCATTGGTAAAACTATACTCTCATACATTCCCTCTTTGCCTCCAAGGACAAAGTTCTTTGTCTCCACAGACTCCTAAGTGCACCACTCACTCTTTTCCCCTCATCAATTCTATGATTCACCTCATCTTTCATAGACCCATCCGCTGACACGTCCACTCCCAAATATCTGAATACATTCACCTCCTCCATACTCTCTCCCTCCAATCTGATATTCAATCTTTCATCACCTAATCTTTTTGTTATCCTCATAACCTTACTCTTTCCTGTATTCACCTTTAATTTTCTTCTTTTGCACACCCTACCAAATTCATCCACCAATCTCTGCAACTTCTCTTCAGAATCTCCCAAGAGCACAGTGTCATCAGCAAAGAGCAGCTGTGACAACTCCCACTTTGTGTGTGATTCTTTATCTTTTAACTCCACGCCTCTTGCCAAGACCCTCGCATTTACTTCTCTTACAACCCCATCTATAAATATATTAAACAACCACGGTGACATCACACATCCTTGTCTAAGGCCTACTTTTACTGGAAAATAATTTCCCTCTTTCCTACATACTCTAACTTGAGCCTCACTATCCTCGTAAAAACTCTTCACTGCTTTCAGTAACCTACCTCCTACACCATACACTTGCAACATCTGCCACATTGCCCCCCTATCCACCTGTCATACACCTTTTCCAAATCCATAAATGCCACAAGACCTCTTTAGCCTTATCTAAATACTGTTCACTTATATGTTTCACTGTAAACACCTGGTCCACACACCCCCTACCTTTCCTAAAGCCTCCTTGTTCATCTGCTATCCTATTCTCCGTCTTACTCTTAATTCTTTCAATAATAACTCTACCATACACTGGTCACAGACCAGGAGGCCTGGTCACAGACCGGGCCGCGGGGGCGTTGACCCCCGAAACTCTCTCCAGGTAAACTCCAGGTTACCAGGTATACTCAACAGACTTATCCCCCTATAATTTTTGCACTCTCTTTTATCCCCTTTGCCTTTATACAAAGGAACTATGCATGCTCTCTGCCAATCCCTAGGTACCTTACCCTCTTCCATACATTTATTAAATAATTGTACCAACCACTCCAAAACTATATTCCCACCTGCTTTTAACATTTCTATCTTTATCCCATCAATCCCGGCTGCCTTACCCCCTTTCATTTTACTACTGCCTCACGAACTTCTCCACACTCACAACTGGCTCTTCCTCACTCCTACAAGATGTTATTCCTCCTTGTCCTATACACGAAATCACAGCTTCCCTATCTTCATCAACATTTAACAATTCCTCAAAATATTCCCTCCATCTTCCAATACCTCTAACTCTCCATTTAATAACTCTCCTCTCTATTTTTAACTGACAAATCCATTTGTTCTCTAGGCTTTCTTAACTTGTTAATCTCACTCCAAAACTTTTTCTTATTTTCAACAAAATTTGTTGATAACATCTCACCCACTCTCTCATTTGCTCTCTTTTTACATTGCTTCACCACTCTCTTAACCTCTCTCTTTTCTCCATATATTCTTCCCTCCTTACATCACTTCTACTTGTAAAAACTTCTCATATGCTAACTTTTTCTCCCTTACTATCTCTCTTTACATCATCACTCCACCAATCGCTCCTCTTCCCTCCCGCACCCACTTTCCTGTAACCACAAACTTCTGCTGAACACTCTAAACACTACATTTTAAACCTACCCCATACCTCTTCGACCCCATTGCCTATGCACTCATTAGCCCATCTATCCTCCAATAGCTGTTTATATCTTTCCCTAACTGCCTCCTCTTTTAGTTTATAAACCTTCACCTCTCTCTTCCCTGATGCTTCTATTCTCCTTTTATCCCATCTACCTTTTACTCTCAGTGTAGCTACAACTAGAAAGTGATCTGATATATCTGTGGCCCCTCTATAAACATGTACATCCTGAAGTCTACTCAACAGTCTTTTATCTACCAACAAACTACTGTCATTTCGCCCTACATCATATCTTGTATACTTATTTATACTTTATATATAATATATATATATATATATATAATATATATATATAATATATATATATATATATATATATATATATATATATATATATATATATATATATATATTGCCTGTTTTTCAGGTAATTTGGAGGTGAGGTCGAGCGGGGAAGGTACTATAGACTACCTGGTGGAGATGATAGTCAATCTGTTATCCAATGCTCTCCGGAACATCATCATGGACAGACTAGAGCCTAGGATACAACAGGTGGGAATCATGAAATTTCTCTGTCTGTCTGTCTGTCTGTCTGTCTGTCTGTCTCTCTCTCTCTCTCTCTCTCTCTCTATCTCTATGTCTCTTTCTCTCTCTCTTCTGTTGCTTAAAAGTGGGCAATTTTAACTAATTTAGACTTATTGTAGTGACATTTAATATATTAACATTGTTAGAATTAACATACCTCGTTACCGGCATTTCTGTCGTGAAAATACACATCCCTTTCTACCTCCACCTCCCCCTCCCCCACTCAGCTCGTTCAAGCACCATCTGAGCCACCTGTCGGTGGTTCAGATGGTGCATGAACACAAACACATAGCATAAAACACGAACATATAACATTCAGTGATCTGATCATCTGCTTCAAAAATACGCAGTATAACTTCCACCCCAAATCCTTTAACTTGGAAATGCACCACCTGCACCACCTGCACCACCTGCACCACCTGCACCACCTGCACCACCTGCAATCCCCTAAAACCCAGCTGTCTCTAATGTAGGTGATCCAGAAGCGACTGAACGGTCTGGACCTCTACAGGATCGTTATGGACCAGCTGGCCAAGAGGCAACAATTGAAGGCGGAAGGACCAAGAGCTGTACAACCTACCTAAACTCTAATTGGCAGTTCGATTAAGCTAGTGTCGTAGTTATACTTCTAAATATTCCTAATGCTCATGAAATTACCACAGTGATAATAATAATAATAATAATAATAATAATAATAATAATAATAATAATAATAATGAATTCATTATTATTAATATTATTATTATTATTATTATTATTATTATTGTTGCTGTAATTGAAATATTAATATTTTTATTAAGTAATTAATGATAACTTCACGTTTATTATTATATTTATCATTATTTTTATTACAAATAAAATACAATAAACATTTCAGTAACATAATTATTATTATTAGTAGTAGTAGTAGTAGAATTATATGAACAAAATCGACCTAATATGGGTTAGGTTAACGAGTAAGCTTACTCAGCTTGTGCATCATGGTTAACGAGTAAGCTTACTCAGCTTGTGCATCATGGTTAACGAGTAAGCTTACTCAGCTTGTGCATCATGGTTAACGAGTAAGCTTACTCAGCTTGTGTATCATGGTTAACGAGTAAGCTTACTCAGCTTGTGCATCATGGTTAACGAGTAAGTTTACTCAGCTTGTGTATCATGGTTAACGAGTAAGCTTACCCAGCTTGTGTATCATGGTTAACGAGTAAGCTTACTCAGCTTGTGTATCATGGTTAACGAGTAAGCTTATTCAGCTTGTGCATCATGGCTAACGAGTAAGCTTACTCAGCTTGTGTATCATGGGTAGCGAGTAAGCTTACTCAGCTTGTGTATCATGGTTAACGAGTAAGCTTACTCAGCTTGTGCATCATGGTTTAACGAGTAAGCTTACTCAGCTTTGTATCATGGTTAACGAGTAAGCTTATTCAGCTTGTGCACCATGGCTAACGAGTAAGCTTACTCAGCTTGTGCATCATGGTTAACGAGTAAGTTTACTCAGCTTGTGTATCATGGTTAACGAGTAAGCTTACTCAGCTTGTGCATCATGGTTAACGAGTAAGCTTACTCAGCTTGTGTATCATGGTTAACGAGTAAGCTTATTCAGCTTGTGCACCATGGCTAACGAGTAAGCTTACTCAGCTTGTGCATCATGGTTAACGAGTAAGCTTACTCAGCTTGTGTATCATGGTTAACGAGTAAGCTTATTCAGCTTGTGCATCATGGCTAACGAGTAAGCTTACTCAGCTTGTGTATCATGGTTAACGAGTAAGCTTACTCAGCTTTTGTATCATGGTTAACGAGTAAGCTTACTCAGCTTGTGTATCATGGGTAACGAGTAAGCTTACTCAGCTTGTGTATCATGGTTAACGAGTAAGCTTACCCAGCTTGTGTATCATGGTTAACGAGTAAGCTTACCCAGCTTGTGTATCATGGTTAACGAGTAAGCTTACCCAACTTGTGTATCATGGTTAACGAGTAAGTTTTCTCAACTTGTGTATCATGGTTAACGAGTAAGCTTACTCAGCTTGTGTATCATGCTTAACGAGTAAGCTTACTCAGCTTGTGTATCATGGTTAACGAGTAAGCTTATTCAGCTTGTGTATCATGGGTAACGAGTAAGCTTACTCAGCTTGTGTATCATGATTAACGAGTAAGCTTACTCAGCTTGTGTATCATGGTTAAAGAGTAAGCTTACTCAGCTTGTGTATCATGGTTAACGAGTAAGCTTATTCAGCTTGTGTATCATGGGTAACGAGTAAGCTTACTCAGCTTGTGTATCATGGTTAACGAGTAAGCTTACTCAGCTTGTGTATCATGGTTAACGAGTAAACTACCCAGCTTGTGTATCATGGTTAACGAGTAAGCTTACCCAGCTTGTGTATCATGGTTAACGAGTAAGCTTACCCAACTTGTGTATCATGGTTAACGAGTAAGCTTACTCAGCTTGTGTATCATGGTTAACGAGTAAGCTTACTCAGCTTGTGTACCATGGTTAACGAGTAAGCTCACTCAGCTTGTGTATCATGGTTAACGAGCAAGCTTACTCAGCTTGTGTATCATGGTTAACGAGTAAGCTTACTCAGCTTGTGTATCATGGTTAACGAGTAAGCTTACTCAGCTTGTGTACCATGGTTAACGAGTAAGCTTACTCAGCTTGTGTACCATGGTTAACGAGTAAGCTTACTCAGCTTGTGTATCATGGTTAACGAGTAAGCTTACCCAACTTGTGTATCATGGTTAACGAGTAAGTTTTCTCAACTTGTGTATCATGGTTAACGAGTAAGCTTACTCAGCTTGTGTATCATGCTTAAACGATAAGCTTACTCAGCTTGTGATCATGGTTAACGAGTAAGCTTATTCAGCTTGTGTATCATGGGTAACGAGTAAGCTTACTCAGCTTGTGTATCATGATTAACGAGTAAGCTTACTCAGACTTGTGTATCATGGTTAAAGAGTAAGCTTACTCAGCTTGTGTATCATGGTTAACGAGTAGCTTATTCAGCTTGTGTATCATGGGTAACGAGTAAGCTTACTCAGCTTGTGTATCATGGTTAACGAGTAAACTTACCCAGCTTGTGTATCATGTGTTAACGAGTAAGCTTACCCAGCTTGTGTATCATGGTTAACGAGTAAGCTTACCCAACTTGTGTATCATGGTTAACGAGTAAGCTTACTCAGCTTGTGTATCATGGTTAAAAGAGTAAGCTTACTCAGCTTGTGCATCATGGTTAACGAGTAAACTTACCCAGCTTGTGTATCATGGTTAACGAGTAAGCTTACCCAGCTTGTGTATCATGGTTAACGAGTAAGCTTACCCAACTTGTGTATCATGGTTAACGAGTAAGCTTACTCAGCTTCTGTATCATGGTTAACGAGTAAGCTTACTCAGCTTGTGTACCATGGTTAACGAGTAAGCTCACTCAGCTTGTGTATCATGGTTAACGAGCAAGCTTACTCAGCTTGTGTATCATGGTTAACGAGTAAGCTTACTCAGCTTGTGTATCATGGTTAACGAGTAAGCTTACTCAGCTTGTGTACCATGGTTAACGAGTAAGCTTACTCAGCTTGTGTACCATGGTTAACGAGTAAGCTTACTCAGCTTGTGTACCATGGTTAACGAGTAAGCTTACTCAGCTTGTGTATCATGGTTAACGAGTAAGCTTACTCAAGATATGACTTATTTAAGCTTGTGTAAAAAAATATACACAGTGCTTCTAACAGGATGTGGCCTCATACACAAGTATACGCATTATAATCACGGGAAAGCGCTGAACCTGTATTGGTCATGCAGCGGCTTAGAGAACGAAGTATAATCAGGCTTCAGTGTAACTGTAGCTTCAGTGGAAGGCAGGTTCAGTGGAAGGCAGGTTCAGTGGAAGGCAGCTTCAGTGGAAGGCAGCTTCAGTGGACGGCAGCTTCAGTGGAAGGCAGCTTCAGTGGACGGCAGGTTCAGTGGACGGCAAGTTCAGTGGAAGGGAGCTTCAGTGGACGGCAGGTTCAGTGGACGGCAGCTTCAGTGGACGGCAGGTTCAGTGGACGCAGGTTCAGTGGACGGCAGGTTCAGTGGACGGCAGCTTCAGTGGACGGCAGCTTCAGTGGAAGGCAGCTTCAGTGGACGGCAGGTTCAGTGGAAGGCAGCTTCAGCGGAAGGCAGTTTCAATGGAACTGAAGACAGCTTCAGGGGAAGACAGTTTTAATGGAAGGCAGCTTATTAGAAGGCAGCTTGAGTTCGTGTTATCGAGAGCCCTTCGCCAACCTGAAGAGTGTGTGACAAGTGTGAGTGTATAGGAGGAAGTGTGTGAGACAAGATTGACTCACGTGCTCTCGAATTATTCCGAATCTGCTGCCTGCATAACCCGTACGGATTTGACCTTTCTCCTCTCTCTCTCTCCTCTCTCTCTCTCTCTCTCTCTCTCTCTCTCTCTCTCTCTCTCTCTCTCTCTCTCTCTTCTCTCTCTCTCTCTCAATGACGATTTCGAATCGGAAATTAGAATAAGTCCAACAGGTAAGTCACTTTTTATTGTCGCTAAAGAATAAATTAACATTTATTTTTTGCGTGTTTTGAGTTATAATGACGAGCTGGAGGCAATTGATCAACATGTATATACATCAATTGTACATTTGTGCAGTGTACTTGATTTTTTTAATAATAAACAATTCCTGAAATTTTTTTTCTAAAAATCCAGACCTGTTTCGTCAATTATATATATATTTATAGGTAGTAGGTTGGTAGACAGCAACCACCCAGGGAGGTACTACCGTCCTGCTAAGTGAGTGTAAAACGAAAGCCTGTAATTGTTTTACATGATGGTAGGATTGCTGGTGTCTTTTGTCTGTCTCATAAATATGCAAGATTACAGGCATGTCTTGCTACTTCTACTTACACTTAGGTCACACTACACATACATGTACACATTTATTTATACACACTCATCTGAGTTTTCTTTGATTTTATCTTAATAGTTCTTGTCTTATTACTTTTCCTTTTATATCCATGGGGAAGTGAAATAAGAATCTTTCCTCCGTAAGCCATGCGTGTTGTAAAAGTCAACTAAAATGCCGGGAACAATGGGCTAGTAACCCCTTTTTCTGTTAAGATTACTAAAAAAGAATGAGAAGAAAATTGTCAAAGTGGGAAGTCTGAATGTGCGTGGATGTTGTGCAAATGATAAGAAAGAGATGATTGTGGATGTTATGAATGAGAAGAAGCTGGATGTCCTGGCTTTAAGTGAAACAAAGCTGAAGGGGGTGGGAGAGTTTCAATGGAGAGGAATAAATGGGATTAGGTCAGGGGCTTCAAATAGAGTTAGAGCTAAAGAAGGAGTAGCAATAATGTTGAAGGATAAGCTATGGCAGGAAAAGAGGGACTATAAATGCATTAATTCAAGGATTATGTGGAGTAAAATAAAGATTGGATGTGAAAAGTGGGTTATAATAAGCATGTATGCACCTGGAGAAGAAGAAGTGTTAGAGGAAGAGAGAGATTTTGGGAAATGTTGAGTGATGCGTGGGGAGTTTTGAATCAAGTGGAGAGCAATGGTGGTTGGGGATTTAAATGCTAAAGTGGGTGAAAATTTTAGGGAGGGAGTGTAGGTAAATTGGGGGGTACCAGGTAAATATAAATGGGGAGCCTCTAATTGAGCTATGTGTAGAAAGAGATTTGGTAATAAGTAATACATATTTTATGAAAAAAGGGATAAATAAATATACAAGGTATGATGTAGCACGTAATGAAAGTAGTTTTTTAGATTATGTATTGGTGGATAAAAGGTTGATGGGTAGGCTCCAGATGTACAGTTTATAAGGGGCAACTGATATATCAATCATTATTTAGTTGTAGCTACAGTTAGAGTAAGAAGTAATGGGAAAAGAGGAAGGTGGCAAAACAAGTAAGAGGGAGGTGAAAGTGTATAAACTAAGGGAGGAGGAAGTTCGGGTGAGATATAAGCGACTATTGGCAGAAAGGTGGGCTAGTGCAAAGATGAGTATGGGGGGGGGGGTTGAAGAGGGTTGGAATAGTTTTAAAAATCAGTATTTGAATGGGGGCAGAAGTTTGTTTGGGTTTTAGGAGGGGGGGGCAGGAGGAAAGAGGAGTGATTGGTGGAATGATGAAGTAAAGGGTGTGATAAAAAGAGAAAAAGGTAGCTTACGAGAGTTTTTACAAAGTAGAAGTGTTATAAGAAGAGCAGAGTATATGGAGAGTAAAAGAAAAAGGGGAAGAGAGTGGTGAGGGGAGTGCAAAAGGAGAGCAGATGAAAGAGTGGGAGAGGCACTGTCAAGAAAATTTTAATGAAAATAAGAAAAAATTTTGAGTGAGTTAAACAAGTTAAGAAAGCCTAGGGAAAGTATGGATTTGT